ACAATACATATTCTTCAGAAATGCTACCTCAACAACACAATCAACAACGACGGTAGGACCCCACGAGAATCCTCTCGGCTAATCTGGAAATCCGCCGACCCCTTGTGGGTCTCTAGGCGTGTGAGATAGTTCCCCCCCCATATTCCCCCCCCAAGGACCCCAAACCAAAGATTCGACCCGCCCCCCGCGCCGACGACGAGCGCGCCACAGGGCTTTTCTGGCCCCAAAAGGGGCTCAAGACGAGCCAAGAAGGCCTCAAGACGCTTCCAAGACGGCTCACGAGGGCCCCGACACGCCATCCGAGCGCTCCAAGACGCCCAAGATGGCCCCAAGACGAGCCAAGACGTCTCCAAGACAGCCCAAGAGGTCTCCAAGAGCAGTCTTCAAAAGGGTCGAAGAGCCGAAAATCGTCAATTTCCTATAGGAAAACGTACATGTTCATCATATTTGACTTGTTGGCCTTCACGGCGTTGAAGACGGTCCAAGAGCACTTCAAGACCGCCCCAAGACGGCCCAAGAGGCCCCACAGAGGCGCCCAAGTCGGCCCAAGAGGGCGCCAAGACAGTCCAAGAGGCTCCAAAGACGGCCCAAAAGGGCCCCAAGACGGCCCCAAGAGGGGCCCAAGAAGGGGAGCCCGAACCGACAATCTGGGCCTTCCGCCCCAAGACGGCCGCAGAAGGCCCCAAGAGGCCCCAAGAGACCCCCAAGACGCCCCCAAGAGGCCCCCCAAAAAAACCAAGAGGCACCAACACGGCCCCAAAACGGCCCCCAAGAGACTTCGAAACTGCCTCCAAGAGTCCCGCGAGAAGCCCCGCAAGAGATCCCAGAGATCCCAGCGAGCAGAGCGGACGGAACAAACAGAGCGGACAGAGCGGACAAAGCGAACGCAGCGGACAGAGCGGACAGAGCGGACTGAGCGGACAGAACGGACAGAGCGTGCAGAGCGGACAACAGGACAGACCAGGCAGAGCGGACGGAGCGGACGGAGTGGAGAGAGCGGACAGAGCGGACAGAGCGGATAGAGCCGACAGAGCGGACAGAGCGGACGGAACGGACAAAGCCGGCAGAGCCGACAGAGCCGACGGAGCCGACAAAGCGAACAGAGCGCACAGAGCGGAAAAAGCGCACAGAGCGGACAGGGCGGACAGAGCGGACTGAGCGGACAGAGCGGACGGAACGGACAGAGCGAACAAAGCGCACAGAGCGGAAAGAACGGACAGACCGTACGGAGCGGACAGAGCGGACAGAACGGACAGAGCGGACTGAGCGAACAGAGCGGACGGAGCGGACAAAGCGATAGAGCGGACAGAGCGGACAAGGCCGACAGAACGGACAGAGCGGCCAAGGAGACCCCGGGAAAGGCACGGGAGTCCTGGGAGGGTCCCGGGGAGTGTCCCAGGGATAATGTAATTGTTATTCGACTGCCACCAAGCCCTGCTCCTCCTCCTCCTCCTTCTCCTCTTCCTCCTCCTCACGACCACACGCTGCACGCAACATTGCAGGAGAATGGTGCCGACACTGCATGCGACCCCAGGGAAACCACAACGCTTTTCGAACAAAGGGGTCGGCGGATGTGGCGTACGCCTATAGAATAACCCTCATCGTCGTCCTCGTGATGTTTTGCGTCATCTTCCGCCTCGCCACTTACACACTTACAGGGTTCCGATGACCCGCCTCGAACTTCGAACACGAGCTGCGGGCCCCATAGGGAGGAGGGCTCCCGCCCGAGACTTCCGCTCAATTCACTCACAGACGAGGCTCCTGCCTGATACTTCCTCCAGATTCAGGGCTCAGGGGCCCAAAAGTGACGACAGGTACAGGTTTGAGGATGGCCCACTTCGGATCACAAACACGAGCTGCGGGCCCCATAGGGAAGGGGCTTTCGCCCGAGATTTCCCCGCAATTCACTCACAAACGAGGCTCACGCCTGAAACTTCGTCCACACTCAGGCCTCAGGGGCCCAAACATGACGACAGTTGCATGTTTGAGGATGGCCCGCTCGGATTACAGACCTGAGCTGCGGGCCCCTTAGAGGGGGGGGGGGGCCCGCCTGAGACTTCCTCGCAATTCACTCACAGACGAGGCTCCCGCCCGATACTTCCTCCATATTCAAACCTCAGGAGCCCAAAAGTGTAGACAGTTACATCGTTCCGATGCGATGACCCGTCTCGGATTTCGACCATGAGCTGCGGGCCCCAGAAGGCGGAGGCTCCCACCTGAGACGCCCTCGCAATTCACTCACGGACGAGGCTCCCGCCGAAGCCTTCCCCCATATTCAAGCCTCAGGGGCCCATAGGTGACGACAGGTACAAGTTTGAGGATGACCCGCCTCGGATTACAAACATGACCCGCGGGCCCCATAAGAGAAGGGCTTCCGCATGAGATTTCCTCGCAATTCACTTACAGACATGCCTCCCGCATGGTACGTCCCCCATTTTCAGGCCTCAGGGGCCCAAACATGACGACAGTTGCATGTTTGAGGATGACCCGCTCGGATTACAGACCTGAGCTGCGGGCCCCATAGAGGGGGGGGGTCCCGCCTGAGACTTCCTCGCAATTCACTCACAGACGAGGCTCCCGCCCGATACTTCCTCCATATTCAAACCTCAGGAGCCCAGAAGTGTAGACAGTTACATCGTTCCGATGCGATGACCCGCCTCGGAGTTCGACCATGAGCTGCGGGCCCCAGAAGGCGGAGGCTCCCACCTGAGACGCCCTCGCAATTCACTCACAGACGAGGCTCCCGCCGAGACTTCCCCCATCTTCAGGCCTCAGGGGCCCACAGGTGACGACAGGTACAAGTTTGAGGAGGACCCGCCTCGGATTGCAAACATGATCCGCGGGTCCCATAAGAGAAGGGCTCCCGCCCGAGCCTTCCGCTCAATTCACTCACAGACGAGGCTCCTGCCTGATACTTCCTCCAGATTCAGGGCTCAGGGGCCCGAAGTGACGACAGTTACAGGTTTGAGGATGGCCCACTTCGGATTACAGACCTGAGCTGCGGGCCCCATAGAGGGGGGGGGTCCCGCCCGAGACGCCCTCACAATTCACTCACAGACGAGGCTCCCGCCCGATACTTCCTCCATATTCAAACCTCAGGAGCCCAAAAGTGTAGACAGTTACGTCGTTCCGATGCGATGACCCGCCCCGGAGTTCGACCATGAGCTGCGGGCCCCAGAAGGCGGAGGCCCCCACCCGAGACGCCCTCGCAGTTCACTCACAGACGAGGCTCCCGCCGAAGCCTTCCCCCAGATTCAAGCCTCAGGGGCCCACAGGTGACGACAGGGACAGGTTTGAGGAGGACCCGCCTCGGATTGCAAACATGATCCGCGGGCCCCATAAGAGAGGGGCTCCCGCATGAGATTTCCTCGCAATCCACTTACAGGACATGGCTCCCGCCTGATACGTCCCCCATATTCAGGCCTCGGGGGCCCAAACATGACGACAGTTGCATGTTTGAGGATGACCTGCTCGGAGTACAAACATGAGCTGCGGGCCTCAGAGGGGGGGGGGTCCCGCCTGAGACTTCCTCGCAATTCACTCACAGACGAGGCTCCCGCCCGATACTTCCTCCATATTCAAACCTCAGGAGCCCAAAAGTGTAGACAGTTACATCGTTCCGATGGCCAGCTCGGATTACAAACATGAAGTACGGGCCCCATAGGGAGGGGGTTCCCGCCTGAGACTTCCTCGCAGTTCACTCACTGACGAGGCTCCCGCCCGAGACGACGCACAGGCAAGTGATGATGATGATGATGATGATGAGAGGAGGAGGAGGATTATGATGATATGAATGATGATGGCGAGGATGAGGCAAATGGTGATGATGGTGTGTGAATGATTGAGTGCGTGAGAGAGCCACTCAGGGGAAGTGAGTGAGCGAGTGGGGGAGCGAGTAAGTTATGCGTGAATGAGAGTGATCGGTTGAGGGTGTGATGGTGATGTGAGTGTGTGGGTGCGTAAGTGAGAAGAGGCCACAGAGACCGTCATCAAGAGAGACCGTCATGACGGTCTGTCTCGCAGGGTGAGTGAGTAAGTTATGAGTGACTGAGGGTGGTCGAGTGTGTGAGTGAGTGAGTGGACGATGGTGAAGCTTGATGGTACTGATGGTATAGTGGTAGTGATGCTGATTAGGATGGTGATTGATGGTGATGATGTTGTTCCCAACCGCGCGAGCTCGAGCTCGCGAAACCCGCATGTAAATGAATTGCACGGGATGGACGCGCACGACTGGGGCGAGGCCAGCACTGTAGCGTGACTCTCCGTGACAAGGGACCCTGCGCACGACTGGCGCGCCGCCCACTCTTCCACGTGACTCTTCGCGGCAGGGGACCCTGCCAGATCTGAAGGCCACGGCTGAAAAGTCCTTGAGGGTTTTTCCCCCTCGCAAAACCCGCATGTAAATGAATTGCACGTGATGGACGCGCACGACTGGCGCGACGCCCGCACTGTAGCGTGACTCTCCGTGACAAGGGACCCTGCGCACGACTGGCGCGCCGCCCACTCTTCCACGTGACTCTTCGCGGCAGGGGACCCTGCCAGATCTGAAGGCCACGGCTGAAAAGTCCTTGAGGGTTTTTCCCCCTCGCAAAACCCGCATGTAAATGAATTGCACGTGATGGACGCGCACGACTGGCGCGACGCCCGCACTGTAGCGTGACTCTCCGTGACAAGGGACCCTGCGCACGACTGGCGCGCCGCCCACTCTTCCACGTGACTCTTCGCGGCAGGGGACCCTGCCAGATCTGAAGGCCACGGCTGAAAAGTCCTTGAGGGTGGAGGACATAGGGGACGGTGAAGACACGCATGGATCGAATGAGGCTCCAGTGCACACAGGAGGAAAAGACGAGGCCAGCCACCGCAGCTACCTCGGCGGCGAGTAGGAGAAGATTGTGCGGGAGCCGAGCAGCCTCGCCGGCACGTCCTTTGGCCCGCGAGGGCGTCGACTCCCGACAACGCGGTCGCCACTGGTGGCCACATAGAGTTGAGAAGAGCGGATTTCAAGCAGAAACCGCGCCGCCTCTAAAACAAAGCGCAGAAGGCTTCTTAGGCTGGCTGCTCGCCTCATCGATTGCCCCTCTTAGTTCCTTGACTTCTGATCTCAGCTCTTCGAGCCTCTCCTCGATCCTTGAAACGTTCAGTGCGTCGAGCCTGGTGCTGACTTTCTCGAGCAAGCCTCTCATCTCCTGCATGCTCTCGGCGGCCTGCCTTGTCTCAGTGGATGCTTCCCTTGCCTCCCAAGAGGCCCTTTTGGATATACGCCGCAACCAAGCGGACGAAGCGGTAATCCTGGAGTACCTCGAGGGCGGCTCCCCCGCGTGCGCGGCGGGCAGGTCCTCCTCGCCCTCCTGGTACATCTCGTCCAGCGACTCCTCTGAAACGACGATCCAGAAGCCCTCGTGTTTTTTGCCCTCTCTCTCTACGCAGGCGTGGCTGAATCTCTCGAAGTAGGTCAGGCTGAAGATGCCCCCGCACCTGTCGAAGATTCCGCAGCACACCTTCCTCCAGAAATGGCGCTGGACCAGAAGCCTGCTGCTTGAGTTCATCTGGAAAGTGCCCTTGAGGTGGCAATCGTGCTGGAGGGCATCCTGGTAGACCGCCCCGAGCAGACTAACGTACAAGTTCAGAGCTATAATCGGAAAAAAGAGGCCGCAGGCGAGAGTAAAAAACTTCAAGGCCCAGTGAAAGGATGCAGCCTGGTCGTTCGCCACGTCAATAATCAGCTGATCTGTTCCGTTGACCTTCTGACGCACACCTTCTAAATCTTTGTCGTCAAAATCGGCAAGGAAATCCAGGCGGAATGTCCGCACGAAGGCGGCGAGCCACTCCAAAAAAGGGCCGTTGGTTTTGTCTGCTGTTGGTTCATTGATTGGTAATGCGTAGTACGCCATCGTAGTCCCCGCGGCCGTCAGGACGAGGTAGGCTAAAAAAAATAGCGACTGGCGGCTGGTCATTGCTACCCATGCAGGCAGCAGGTGCTCGATCAAAAACGAAAAGTTCAGGCATGACAACATGAACTGGAACCACTTCACAAAGATGAGCATGGACAGGTGAAACGGGCGATTACAGATGTAGTTGTCTGTCGTCCAAAGGGAAATCGCAAACCAGATCGACCACAACTCGACAACATAACAGAACAGCGTTTCTGCTTTGATGAAGAACAGACGTGGCCTCAACAGAGGATCTCCGCACCTGCCAATCACGGGCGCCATGACAGTCACAAGCTCGATGAGCAAACAGACACCTGTGCGAAGTCCTAAGATCGTGATTGCTGTTGGTGCTGTCAAAACCCAGGCATTACTCATTGACATTGATGACGCCCACTCATTATACCAATAATCATTTTGCTCGCATGCTTCTCGCGGTGAGCGGCTAACAGGCGAAAGGCACCACACTAGAAGGAACTGAAACAGCAAGTCGGCAGAGCGATTCCATACGAAGTGAGGGAAAGCGAGCGCCCAATTGAAAGCAACCAGAGCTTGTCCGAAAGGGGTTGCGAAGTGCACGTCTTTAATGCCGCTGGTAGCGATAATGGCCTGGCTGATCTTGACGCCATCTAAATCTGCCGCTTCATGCCCAAAGACGCCTTGGACTGTTGTATAGAAACAAACGACCCTGCTCCTGTGCGCATTTCGCGTGATCTGCCACCAGGCCGGACGCGAAGGATGCTCCTCCGCAACCCCTTTCAACTCATCAAGAAATCGCTTCCGCGCGCCATCTGTGATGCCCTGGTCAAGGCGCCCTGAAACGACACTCACCGGGCAAGCAATATTTGCAAATTGGTACAGCCTGACAGGAATCGCGTCGTGTGGAACGCGCACGCACAACGACTTCAGGAACTTAGTTGACAACCCCGGACTGATCTGGTTCAGTATCGTGGGGATGGACTGCGAGAACCCTTCGGCCTGCCAAATCTGGTGAAGCTTCTCCAGATGCTTCCACCTCTGGCTGGTGTACCCGTTTGCCTCGGACTGCTTCGAGCTCTCATCATCTTTGTTTGAGAGCTTCCCGCACCAATCGTCAAGAAGTGAGTGCCAGTTGCCCGAATCTGCATGGTTGTCCCACTCATCGGCCCATTCTTTCAGCGAGGCACATGTGCAACTGAGCTGAGAATCCGAGGTAGAACTGAAAGCCTCGGCGTGCAAAAACATCAGATTAACAAACACCACGACTTTGGACTCGATGTTGCCAGGGCAGGCATCGATCCGCAAGGGCGTCGAATCCTGCGAACGATCGCCTGCAGTGATCTTGAGAAGACGCTCACTCTCCATGCTCGCCGTTTCTGGCTCGCGGAGCGGGCAGCGCACGGGCGGCCGCTGTGGCCCTGGCGAGCCTGCGCCAAAGTGGCACTTGAGCAAACATGGCAACGGATGAGGATGTTGATGATGATGATGATGATGATAGGACGAGTGGATGTGAAAAGGAAAAGGTGTGGGAGGACTGCGCGAGGTGTCCAAATACATCAAGAGCCTCACTTAGGATGTGGGGAACAACAGCAACAAACACAACAACAACATCAACAACAACAACAACAACAACAACAACAACAACAACAACAACAACAACAACAACAACAACAACAACAACAACAACAACAACACAACAACAACAACAATCATTTTAAGACTGTTCGCCCTTATATCGAGTGTCCAATAACGCGTATTTCCAAAACCCTCGATACCCGCCCTCTTCGTCTTCGATCGAACCCCTTTTGGGGGGTATACCTTTCTTCCCTGCAGGCCGGGCCCCGGCAAGCGGCGGGGCGGCCGCGGACCGTCGGCCTGGCCAGCGGCAGCGCTGATCGGCGGGGCGGCCGCGGACCGTCGACCCGACCCCAAGAGGGACGGACAGGGGACCGACCACGACGACGACGACGACGACGACGACGACGACGACGGCGACGACGGCGACGACGAGCGAAAGCGAGAGCAAGAGAGAACGACAGCAGGGTCACAAAGGGCACGAAGTAGGCCACGCAGGGCGACAGCGGGGACACGAAGGTAATGCGTATGGGGCCACGAAGAGTGCGTACGAGCGGGGGCCACGAAGTGCAGATAATGCGGAACCACAGAAGGCAACTATGGGGCCACTGAGGGTAGCAACTCGGACGTAGGACAATGAGGGGGACACAAATGGCGACAGCGGGGCCACGAAGGGCAGGCACATAGGGCCACAACGGGCGCGACTCCTGGGTGCCTGGGTGTCGGGAGCGCGGCGCTTCGGCAAATTGCAAGAAATTCCAACGCAAGGCTATTCTTCAGTAAATTGCAAGCAAGTCTCCAGCGAGAGCGCGATTCCAGAGCTCCGGGAGAGCGATTCCTAAATAAATTGTAAGGAAGTCTCAAGCGAAAGCGCAATTCGTGAATAAAATGCAAGCAAGTCTCGGGCGGGAGCGGGGGTCCTGCCTAAATTGTAAGGAAGTCTCAGGCGGGAGCCGTTGTTGTTGTAACCCGGGGGCCAGGGGCCCAGTTTGAGCAGGAAGACTTTCCCTGTCAAAAAACAGGGTGCGAGCGTCGAGGGGCACACTTCTATGGAGAAAAAAATTGTCTGCACCGGTGGGGGTGGATCAACAATAGTTATTCTTCAGAAATGAGAACTCAACAACAACAACAACAACAACAACAACAACAACAACAACAACAACCACAACCACAACCACAACAACAACAACAACAACAGCAGCAGCAACAAGAACATAAACAACGGCAACAACAACAGCAGCAACAACAACAGCAGCAACAATAACAACAACCATAACAACAACAACAACAACAACAACAACAACAACAACAATCACTTTACCCGAACGCTCAGTGTTCTCACCAGTGCCAGGGTTTTCATGCGACGCCAGCCAATACCCCCACTTTGTGGGGGGGCAGTGCAAGCTCTACCAAATATCCACACGACTCTTCGCCACCACCCACACCCAGCTTCCCGCCCTATGACGTTCGGACACTTCACTTCGTGGCCTGCGGACGACCGTGGCTACTACACTGGCGTGGAGTACACACCCACAGAAGTTGTTAAGCCTACGTTCGTACACCCACAGAAGTTGTTAAGCCTTGTTAACCCACAGAAGTTGTTAAGCCTTCCACAGAACATCTGTTGCATATGATGCATATGGTACATGATACACATGATACACATGATACGTACTCACAAGATAGTTGATCACATCTTTAGGGCAAATTCCTGAGGGATGTGGGAATACACAAGAGAGAGAGGATATGGTTGTCCCGATGGTTGTCTCGATGGTTGTCCCGATGGTTGTCCTGATGGTTGTGGTTGTCCCGACCTACGGTGCGATTCGTGTGATTTTATGATGCGCGGTGCTAAAATTCTTAAGAACCCAATGGTTTTTGGAGATTTCGGCGTGCGCGCGCGAAGAAAAAACGAATGTGTCCCGCATGGTATTATTTGACAGGGATGATGGCCCTGGCAGGTGCGCAACCGTTGTCGCAGAAGTTCGAAAAAGTTGCTCGCAAAAGCCCGTTTGACAGAAATGTTTAAAAAGTGTTGGGTTTCCTACGAATCCGCAAGAGCGCGCGGGATGAGATTTTGACATTTTTTTGTTGAAAAAACCATTGGTTTTTTGATGTTTTTATGTTAAAATCGCTCCGAACACTAAGCTTTTGGAAGGATTTCGTCTTGCGCGCGCGAATGTCCACTTTACCTTATTTTTTGCAAGGGATTCTTGAAATTTGATTATATTAGAACAAGAAATGTCATTTTATAGTGTTTTTTGCAAGGGAAAGCGGGGGGGAACAAAACAACCGGATCTTGATCACATCGAATTACCTGAGGCTTCCTCACGAAAATGATGAAAATGTAGCTGCGGCCTAGGCGGCGCAGGGGGGCCGTGCACCAGGGGTCCCAACAATAATTATTCTTTAGAATTAATAATGTTCAACAACAACAACAGCAACAGCAACAACAACAACAACAACGACAACAACATAAACAACGACAACCATCACCACTACTACTACTCCTACAACTACTACAACAACAACTACTACTACTACTACTACTACTCCTACTCCTACTCCTACTCCTACTCCTACTACTACTACTACTACTACTACTACTACTGCTACGACTGCTTCTACTTTTACTACTACTCACTACTACTACTACTACTACTACTACTACTACTACTACTACTACTACTACTACGACTACTACTACTACTACTACTACTACTACTACTACTACTACTACTACTACTACTACTACTACTACGACGACTACGACTACGACTACGACTACGACTACGACTACGACTACGACTACGACTACGACTACGACTACGACTACGACTACGACTACGACTACGACTACGACTACGACTACGACTACGACTACGACTACGACTACGACTACGACTACTACGACTACTACTACTACTACTACTACTACTACTGGTACAAAAAAAAACAACACCAACAACCACAGCAGCAGCAACAATAGTAATCACAACAACAATAAGTTTAATAATGGTCGCTCTTATCTACTCGCGTGCCTTCAACACATCTATCCCAAAACCTCGATATCCGCCCTCTTCGTCTTCGATCGTACCCCCTTGGGGGTTTTCTTACCTGCAACGTGTACTTCGTGCAGCCCAGAAGGCACGGGAAGAGAGGACGGATGGAAGGATGGGACAAACGGGACGGGAGGAGGATGGAGTACGAGAGAAGGTAGCAGGAGAAGGACTAAGAGCAGAAAGCGCTTGGCAGATCGGGCGGGTAGACCATAACAGGCGGGTCGGGAAGGCGGGCCCAAGCGGCCAGGTCGAGCAGGCGGGTTGCTGAAGCGTGCGCCCTGCACGAATCGCGAGGAAGCCTCGAGCGATAGCGCGATTCCTAAACAGACCGTTTGGAAATCTGCAGCGAGAGCGAGATTCCTGAGCGTCGATCGCGATTCCTGCTGAAATTGCGAGGGGAATCCCGCGCGAGAGCGCGATTTGGGAACCAGTTGTGAGGAAGCGTCACGCGGCAGCCGCTGCTGTTGCAAGCCGGGTGCCGAAGACACGGTCCCACCGGCCCTCTGGGCGCAGGTGGTCCAACGAGGACTCTCTCTCCTCTTCCAGAAACCCTTCTTCCCCTTCGGGGAGGGGTTTCTCAGTGCTCCCTAATGATGAATATCAGCCAGCGTCGACTCCAAATAGGTAGGAGGACACGAGGAGGACGAGATGAGGATGGGAGGAGGACGAAAGGAGGACGGGAGCAGGACGGGAGGAGGACGGGAGGAGCAAAACCAAGAAAGCAAGAGCAAGCAAGCGGAAGCAAGCAAGCGAAAGCGAGCAATAACAAGCAAGCAAGAGCCAGCGATCAAGTGCAAGCAATCAAGGGCAAGCAAGAGCAAGCAAACGATAGAAAGCACGCAAGAGCAAGCAAGCAAGAGCACGCAAGAGCAAGCAAGGGCAAGCGACTCATAGGAATCAATAGGAGTCCATAGGACTCGCCATTGGACATAGCCATAGGAATTAGGGAAGCATAGGGATTGAGGGGGGGGCAACGGACCAAGTAATAAGGGTTGCGTTAGAACTCCTATAGGGCAGACCTACTTGAAGAACGCCCCCTCCCCCACCCGGGCGGCAGCCAACCCGGAACCATGTGCACACCATGAGGGCCCCCCCGACACCATCCTCTTTCACAAAACATGCAAAACGCACTCTGCCTCCAAATTCGAAGCATGCGCAACCAACCCCATGCGACCACCCCCCCCACCATCCTTGTCAAAAAAACAGTACACAGTACAGTTCGGGGCAAAGCCTGAAGTCAGGTTCGTGAGGCCCGCGGGCACTTTATATTGTTTTTCGACGGCGACGGCGGGGGTGTCAGCATATTGCCTGCTGCGCGCAAGGCTACCATCCCTGACAAACACACAATACAAAATACACCTGGCGGCTAAATGTGGATAGTACGCGGCCACCCCGCGATCATTGTCAAGTGGTTTTTGTCACGGACGGCGGGGGTGGTGGTGTCTGGTCTGCTGTGCGCAGGCCCAACAGAAACAATGATGGACACTGGCTTTCGACAGGGATAGTGGAGGCCGACATGTTCACCGATGTGTGCTGTCATGTGCGCAGGCGCACCTGACACACTCTGCACGTGCCCCGGACGTGGCGCACCTGGCGCGGCTGGAGGGA